TCCTTTTGTCGGAGGGAATTCCAAATCCTTGAAGTTTATTCAACTCTCTCTTTAAAACAGAACCAATTGACTGTGTTTTGAATTTTCTAGCAAACCTTTAGCTTTGACGAAGCCTTGTAGAGTGACAAGAACACGTTCAAACCTCAAGGAGGAGAGACTGGCTTTGACTCAGAAGGGACCAAGTTTGTGACGTACTGGGACACGCCTTTCTCCAAGGTCTTTGTTGGTATGAAGGTTGGCAGTCGAATCAAGTTCGCCAAAATTGATCAAAAGGCAGACTCTCTGCACACACTGATCGCTGATGGGTAACATCGTACCACCTCACTGGGTCGTGATGCATGGAAGGATTTGATTGGCTCTGACGCTTCCTTACAAGTTAACTGCAACATAGAGGGGTTTAACGTTGAGGGAACCAGCCGTCGCCACTCGAGGGCAAGAATTGGTATCGCTACTAACGAGAAAAACGACTGCAGTAGTTGTGATTCCAGGATAGGACTTGGTATTGGAGGTTATCCTGACGAAAACGTTTCTTGTGGGAACGTGGTACGACACGGAGGGGGTAATGGAGACAGGACCATTCAAGCCGTGGGTTACACGATCAATTCAGGCTAAATTATAATTCTAATTTTTTTTGTGCTCGTTTAAGACTAAAGAATGGTTAACTAGAGCAGTTGTAATTATCAAACAAAAGTAAAAACGCTTTCAAGGCTAAACAAGGTTTCAAGTTATTCTGTCTGATTCGATGAGCTACCTTCGTTTCCAGGGAACATTCTTAAACGGTTTCTCGAAGCTGCAGACGTGCAGGCTATCGATTGAATGCGAAGCACATCTAAAAGTGCAGGGTAAATTATTTTTCTCTCACCTGAGTGACTCGGCTAAGCCGATGTTTTTCTTCGCAAGGGGCAAAATTATTTATCTACCCCCCTCCCCCTTAGAAAAGTGGTCCAAGCCAACCATATTTATTTCGTAACATCTGGTAAAACTGGTTCAGCCAAATCCCATGTTTAAGTGAAAATTTATTTGGATCGCTTTTGCCAACTCCATGTGTCAGAGGCGAATAATTGTCCGTAGTTGGGAAGTATGCGACATTTGCAAGTGGAAGCCTGAGCAATACAGCAACGTTCTCATAGCTCTTAGCCATGATCGGTGTTGGAAGCTGCATCTCATGTGTTTACCCTTCGTATCTATAGGAGCGTCCCAAAACCTTCTAATCCCTGAAGACACAACGCAAAGCGAAAGGTATGTGAAAATGTTTCATCACTGACGATGATAGGAAGTGTGAGAACGAAATGAAAAATTCACTGGCAGAAATGAGTAAGTGTTTATTTCGCTCTGTGACCATCAGCACCAAAGTCTCTGTAGAATGTGATGAGCGATTGAACTCTTAAACAATTTTGATCATGGTATCAGTTTTTGAGACTGTTAAGCGTCTATCTCTCTGTACAAGCTTGGAGTGATAGAATATAACCATGTAAGACTTTATCTAAGCAATAGCAACAGAAACAGAAGATTCGAACTTCCTCAAGCGTGAAAACTTACCATCAAAAAGCAAAATTGGGGATTAAAAACAAAGCGCACTTCATTGCTAGCTCTGATAATTACAGGTCTAAAAAATAACGAGGAGCCAAATTCACATATCAAGGCGCGCAAAATTGCTCCAGCATCAGCTAACCGCTGCTGCAATTTAAGAATAATGCATTGCTTGCCAATTCAAATGAGGTTCATGCGAAATTAACTATGTCGGCTTCACGAACCAAACCTTATCCTTATCTTAGACGCAGAAGCAAATTTCTTTCTTTTGAGTGCTAACGAGAGGTTGTTGAGAAAAGAACTGTGCTTGTTTCTTACAAATATGAATCAACCAGCACGAAGAAGACAAGAATCGAAATCAACCCCGCTGTAACTCATGAGTGACCAAGACAGAAATTCTCCTTAAAATATTAATACAATATCAAGCAGACTAGTGATGAGAATTTTAAAAAATTTGGATTACTGGTTGATCCAATACTAAATACTCCAAACTAGTATCATAACACTTGTGTCAGGGTAGACTGTAAGGGGAATAATTGATGAGATATTAGAAGTGAAAGGCGTGTTAGGGTAAAGTTGTCACTATCAATACTACTGACCCTTAAAACTTAAACAGAAGAATTTCTTGAGAGTGATTTTAGTTGCAACATTGTCGGAAACGTAAAACTGGACTAATTTTTGTATTTTATTCAAAGGTTGATCTAGTCCAAATACTGATAACATGAAGAAGAAAATGATAAAAAAATTTTCAGATTAATTATGACTTAGGGATATACAATTCCTGTTTCTTTAAATTTGTTGGCTCTCAAATTGATCTCAATACGTAGTAAGGACTTAAAGCATTTAGCATACATCACATAGAAAACATTTTCGTGTTTTCAGCCGCGCGATGGTCTGACAAATTAGTGTAACTGATAAAACTCCGCATTCCGCATTCCGATGGATGTTTTCATATTAAATACTTAATTAAGAATACATTACGTGATCGCGGTTTGTTTCTGAAGGATCGCTCTTAAGTTATCAAGTGATGAGTGTTTCAAAGAGAAAAAAGAAAGTGTCTTGTATTGAACTAGCGGGGAAGAAAGCATTTATATGATTTTAACCCACATATAATTACTAAAAAACGATTGGGCACGGTTGAATAAGTATGGGAGATACCGACAATTTTCCATTTTCTACGATAACGGAGATCAATAATTCTCTTACTACTCGATCTTCACTGCGCACAAGTCTTTTCCTTAAATTCGCAGTCGAGAGGTGAGCGCGCTGTCTAGAAGAAGTAAAGGCTAAGGCGGTTGGCTCCATTTTCGCTTCAGTGACTTGTTCAGTCGATTTCCCGTCGTATGTCCAAACAGCAGTTGTAGAAAGTTGCTGTTTCTTGCTTTACAACTTTCATCTTTTTTAGCCAATTCTTGTCGATTCGCATTTAATAGCTGGCAGAGTGAAAAGGCAATTTAGAATAGGTGAAATACCATTTACACAATAATATTTATGGGCGATTATTTGCAAGTCATGTTGTGGGTACTTGATCATTGAAAGAGCAGAAAACGGACATCGAATGTAACAATATCTGACTGAATAGAAAACCCTTAAGTAGTCACTGAATTACAGCTCGTTATCTTTATAAAATTAAACAGCTTTCACATTTATAAATGGCACTTACCTTTAATCAGAAAAGCTAGATTCGTGGTAAATCGGATAACTCATTCTGGAGTCCAATATTTTTTTTATGCAAACTTTTAAACTGGGCATTGGCATCGAATGATCTGAAGCAACCAGTGTAGCTTTCACGCCAAAATACACAAACAAGAAAACAAACAAAACAACACAAAACCAACAAAAACAACCATATTGAAACGTCAAGTGGGTCATCAAAGACGGCCATTTAAGGCTGGCATCGCCTTTGACGATGTGCGATGCACATATGAGATATTTCTCCGAGAAAGGGAGAAAGAAATTTTAAAGAGGATGCCAAGCCATGAGAACAGTTTAATCAAATCAGGTGATCAATATTTAAATTCATCAGAAGGAAAAATAGTCTTCATGATGCAAAGATTAGAAAGGGAAATCATTCATGGTGGTCTAAAACTGTTAATAACTGCTGACTTTTGTACGACGAAGAGTGCTGTCATTTTCCTCTTTCCCGCCCCCATTGTTTTTGTACGTCAACGTGTAAGTGACGTCAATTGAGTTATCATGTGTGTTTTCCAACTCATGCAGATTAACGAAAGCATCCACCGAAGAAGCCGGCGTAATTTTTATCGCATACCTTACACTCGAAAGGATAAAAATTCACTGCTCTTTAATTAACAATGGTCAGATTTTGGTCTTTCATTTTAATCTCGAGTTTAATTCCAAGTCTTCCATTGTTAAACCAAAATTGAAGTTTTTATAGTTTAAGTGTAATTTTGTTTTACAGATTATGCCGGCTTTTGGTTTTCCACATTTGTATCAACGAGAGTGAAAGTGGAACACGCAAGGAAGACAAAAGAGCACTCATCAGCTAACAAACTTTACATAAACGGAACGACATGGAAAGGGACCAGAAATCATTCTGGAGAATTTTAAGACCCTAAAGAGGTGCTAAATAGTAGAGAACAAGGCAATATGCATTGATAAACAAAGAACATAAGAACACAATTATCAACTACTAGACTTTTCCAGAAAGAGCAACAAAGAAAGAAGCCCGATAATATCACAAAGTATTTTTGGATCCTAAACAAAACAGAGTACCAAAGCAAGCTTGACAATCACATTTTTGAGATGATCTACTTTTCAGAATCCTGAAGCAAAAATTAATAATTTTCAAGCGTCATTCAGCACAAGAAAAATAGACGACAAAAAGAGGGGGAAAATAACTCAAGGCCGATTACTGCAACGTAAAGTTTGTAAAAACCGCAGGTTTAAATAAAAATTTGCCCAAAATTGCTCCTAAAATAACGCAGAGGCGCACCATCTAAACTCTCACGGTCCCCTCCGAAATAGGAGTGGTGCCTTGCGGTAACTAACCTCCCAAGGCTCAAAGCTGCATGGAAGGTAGCTTAAATAACCTTTAAATTGTCGTTCCTTTTTCTGCGTGAATGTTTATTTCCACGCAGTCTTTGTTTTTCTTTTGTCTTTTTTGTTTTGTTTTTTTTCCTTGTTTTTTTTTTTTTTTTTTTTTAAATTTTAATCGCATTAATAGATGGATCGGGCCGAAAACAAAGAGACGATCGAAGCAGAAAGAATTAAACACCACCTCTGTAAAAGCTAGTTGTAGTTTTGAATTCAAAGCTTTTGTATCTTCCTATCCATATTTGGGTAAATGCGGAATAATCAAACAATAGGGAAGTTAATTACGTCAGATATTGCACGGTTTTTGTTCGAAATACACACGCAAATTTTCCGTGTAAATAACCAATTTATCACTGATTGGTTGATTTCGACAATTGAATTGTCTTACGCCCCTAATGAATGATATTGGTCCAAAAGCAACTTTTTCCTTGTTGGTGTGTGATAAATGCGGAGAAAAGCTATCATAATATTCTAGTTCAATTCTGTAGTGACATCAGTTAGTTTGATCGTGATTTAGTAATCGTCGGCGCCTAACAGGTTAGTAGAACTGCACGCAAATCATTTTTTTCTTTATTTATGTACCGTTGACCTTCCATAGTAATCTTATCATTTATTTTTCCCAAGTTTACAAACTCTTAGACTAATGATAATCATTTTGGTTAATCGATATATTTTTTTTGCTACTTACTTATTTTCTGAGTAGTTAAGCTCTCCTGAACGTGGGTTTGGTAACAAAATTTAAGTTATCATTTTGCACAGAGTAATTTTTTTAGGAACGGCTAATTCCACAGATTTCAGCCGTTGTGAATACTACGTTGTTAATTGCGGTAACGTTGTTAATTGTAATAAAACCACATTTCCAAAATTTTCTCGATTCAGCCTAACGTTTCATTTTAAAAATGGCACTTGTGATCATTGTCAAGAAGGATATTTACTTCAAACAAACGTCTTCTATCGAAATTTATGAATGCTTATTCAAGAAGAAAAAAAAAACAAAACACTCGACTCCATCTACTGTTTTCCATTACACTTCTTTCGTGCTCTGGCCGCTTCCTGTGTGCTTTACAACAGAGCAGGGCACAGTCTTTCACACATCTTTAAAAATGACGATCGCGTTGTCGGTTTACTTGTGGTAAAGCCTTAGAGTGAAAGAATCGATATCCACGTATTTCCATGAACAGAGATTAACCAGAAGAAACAAAATTCCTCAAGCGTGAACTCTTACAATCATAAGCGAAAACAAAACACGCCTCAATGCCTGCACTAATTAAAAGTTAGGAAATAATGAGCACGTGCCAAAATGTTCCGTAATCCTTGGACGTGACTGCGTGACCACAAATATCAGAATAGCAGAGGAACGTACGTTGCTTCAGTTGATGGTGACTCTGTGTCTTCCCACAAGCAATTTAAATTCGGTTTAACTTTGGACTTAACGTTGAACCATAATGAATATCTAGCTCATCCTTTTTAAAAAAAAAAACATCTTCTGAGTTCTTTCTGGATTTCTGGAGCTAACGCTGCGCCATTATTCTCACAGAAATTAATCTGATGATATATATTCGTGTTATCCATATGACAAAATGACTCCGTAGGAAGACAAATTCTGGTGAATAGAACTGACACTTTTCACCCTTTCACGTCCAGAGCCAATTGAGCCTGGATCATGAAATGCTATTTAAGCTTTCCAATTTATTGAACAAATGTTGTGATGTAAATATTCAAATAAAATCGCCTTCACAATATTTTAGGGGTTATGGAATTTTCTTGAATTTTGACCCTCTACGAGGTATTTTGATTGATATGATATTAATTTGATTTCTCTTCATTAAGTGCACAGATTCTAGTGCCTCCATAATGAAGGTTTGGTTAGTCGCAGCTGTGATATCTTCCATAGCTGGGTCTCTTGTTGCTGTTAAAGATCAATGCGAAGAGGACAGCTCGTCAAGTTGTTGTTCAGGAGGCGACTTTAGTCCTGTCAATCCTTTCAGCACGCTGGGTAAAAAGCTGGATGAGTTGCTGGATTTGATACGAGCACAAGTTCTTCAATGTGCTGGAGGTAAATGAGATTCTGGCCCCTTCTTAGTGCAGAAGGCACAGGACGCGTTACAATAGAACACAGCCTCCTTACATAAAATATGCAACACAAGTTTATTGTGTCATGCGTTTAGCTATTCATGTGTGACATTACATTATAAAATGCCACGCCAGCTAATTTACAGGTACTCCACATGAATAAAAATTAAATTTAGAAGTAAATACTCTAACATAAGAATAAAAATGTTGAAATTTTGAAAAAGATGAAGTCAGGATCATAAAATACAATGTAAAGTTATATCATGTTATGCTAAGAAGTAAAAACGATAATCGTATATACTAAAATAATATAACAGTAATAAAAACGTTAGGTTAAAAAGCCCAAAAGAGCGATGTTTTTATATACTGTGCTGAAGGCCTTGGAAGTTCCAACGGTTCTGTGCGACTCTAGTAGCACATTCCACTGCTTTGGCGCTACGTAACGCCACGATTTCAGTCCGTAAGTTGTGGCGTTGCAGCTTTAGAATGTTGGTTCTCCTCAAATCGTATTTAAAATTTAATAACTTTTTTTAAAGCTTTTAAAAATGATCGTAATAAATATCTCTAAAAACCGTACACATTACTTTTGCGAGTCTTTGATTAGTCAATGCCAGTATGCCTATCTTTTTGAGTTGTTCCTGATTTTGTGTGCATTTTTTTTCGTTAGAAACAAATCGGGGGGTCGGAGAGCACGTTCGTTAAGTGAAAAAAGAGCCGGTTTTTGTACTGGTAGTTTTACTGCAGAAGCGCCAGGTCTTAGAACAATAGTTGTAATGGAGAAGGATGAAAGCAAAATAGATGTTTTTTCTTGATTCAAAGGGAATTTTTTTTTCATAGGCTTAAGCACAGCAACTTGCTGAGAGACTTCTGGCTACTAACCTTTTGTTTCCATTGTTTTTCTCGTTTTTTGTCTTTCTTGTTCTCTGTTGTTTTACCTCATCCGTATCTTCCACACTAAGTGAGAGCCCTTTTTCCATAATTAGAACTATTTGACACATGGTAGCCTGGTGCGCTAGGTCGAGAGATCTGAGTTCGAAGCCTGGCCGGGTGTTGTGTTGTGTTTTTAAGCACAAAACTTAATTCCCACAATGTCTCTCTTCATCTTGGACTCTTAAAGAAAAACTAGGAGTTAATCTCTGTCGCCAAGAGAGCCACTTGGTTGGAGTGAAATCTTAAACAAAATTTTTTATACAGATGACTGTGTAAGACTATCTTGCGACTGAGGGACATTACAAATTTGTCTCCATTTAAGATATGTTTTCTGCTCGCCAAAAACTTTTAGAGGAACTTATGAGCAGGAGAGATTAATCCTAGATAGCCAACCCGCTTGAAGCCATGAGATAGTTCATAGTTTTTTTTTTCTTTTTGATACCATATTCCAGGTCGTGCACTAGAGACTACGCCCAAGTCGTGCAAGGAAGTTGTGGACAATGGAAGGTTAGTATATGATGAAGCTGAATTTAGATCAAGACCACGTAAAATAATTAATTGTTGTAATACGGAACACCTCTATAAGACACGGTGAGTTGAGGTTTGAGGCGGAGCTTCGTATCAAAACTGACTCTTGCTCAGTCAGACTACAAACAGTAACTAATCTTTCCCAGCGTAATCCGTCACGTAGTTAATATAAATCGACCAGAAATTAATATCTTTGCACCACATGAACCCTCGGAAGCGAGACGCGCGGAAGGAGAAACTGGTGCTGAGTATTGAAGACCACTCAAAGTCTAGTCCCTAGTCGTCAACATAACGCGCGCGGCATGAGTGTGCTAAGAGGAAAATGAGCCACCAAAAACTGGAAACATAATGAGTCAGCTGGGATCGAACTTAAAACACTCAGTTACAAGAAAGAACAATCCATACAGTACTTCTCTAACCTTCATTAGGAGACATTTTATGTGGACACCGGGAAACACGTTTAATCGTAACTAAGTTTATTAGGACAAGGGCCACAAAGCTCGACCGCCCACTAGATTTTGAGTCTAACGGAGGATATTCCAATAGCAGATTACAATACTAGTTAACTTGGATCTAGTATAGGTATCTGGAAATAAGTATGTGGGGAGAAAATATTCCGGAGACCTCTCCTTTAACACATTCCCTAAAATATTTCTATGACCCTCAATTACAACTACCCTCACTATAAATATTTTCATAACACTTACTATTATAAATTACTATTACTGTAAGTATACCTTTTGTTATTACCATTGTTATTGCTAGTCTCATGAATACTGTTTTCCAATCAGATCCGATGGAAACAAAGCCTACACACTGGATGTTGGAGGCAAAAAGATGCCCGTTTACTGTCAGGTGACTCCACTTGAAGGCTGCGGAGGAGGTGGATGGACGATGGTCATGAAAATAGACGGAACAAAGGTATCAGTTACAATAGCAACGATCACGAAATAAAAACTGTGGTCTTTATCAAAGGACTCAGGGAAAAAAGAGAGCATTCTATTCTATCTAGTACCCAAGACAGTTTACTCCATCTTTTAGTACATACCATACAGTTTAATAAGACTTTTCGCGCGCGCTGATTGGCTTATTTGGAAGTGATTAGCAAGGGTCATTCACTTCCGATTAGTCAAAGAAACAAAATTGCGCGTCAGCAATTCAGTTTCCGACCTTCCTTTTTTTTTTTTTTTTTAAGAATTGCTTTACAATTTGAATTTCCTATGTTGAAATCAAATTTGACGGCTGCGGAGAAAAAAAAGTTTCTTGCTTAAAGACACTTTTCAGGGATTAAAAGTTAAAACTGGGGGAGGGAAGAAAAATCACAGTAGGTCGTGGATCATGTGTTGGGAAGGTTTTAACACATCTACGGGTACATCAATACATTGATTGATTGATTGATTGATTGATTTATTAATTACTTCATTCGTGCATCAATTCATTCTCCTTTTCACTGATTCGTTTATTCGATTCACCGAGTCATTCATTAATCCATCCATCTATCTGTCCAGTTATTTATCAAGTGATGATATTTTTCTGTTTTTTACCCTTGATTTATTTATTCATTCATTCATCAGTATTTTGTTTTTTAAACGTCATGTTAAAAAATTGATTTTTTAGAAACACTTCACTTATGATTCTGCCCTGTGGACCGACCTGATAACGTTTAACACTCATGGCGGGGAGACTGGGTTTGACGCACACGAAACAAAGTTATCGACCTACTGGAAAACACCCTTCTCTAAGATCTGTGTTGGTATGAAGGTTGGAAATGATCCAGTCAGATTCCAAGTCATCGACCAACAAGCCACCTCTCTCCATTCACTGATCGCTGATGGCGAATATCGGGCCACCTCATTGGGACGAGACGCGTGGAAGAATCTGATTGGCCCCCACGCCTCCTTACAGCGTAATTGTAACAGAGAAGGGTTCAATGCTAAAGCCGACCGAGATAACCTTTCAAAGGCAAGAATTGGTATCACTAGTAATAACGAGAATGATTGCAACACTAATGATTCCAGGATTGGATTTGGTACTGCAGGGTATCCTGACGAGAACCAGTCGTGTGGGAACGTAGCGCGACATGGTGGTGACAATGGAGACAAGACCACCCCAGCCATGGGATACATCTTGGTTCAGTAAGATGTTCACAACCGCAAGCAAATGATCCATTTTTGTTTTGTTTTGTTTTGTTTCAATAGAAATTCAGGTGATACTGAGCGAGATTGCGATTGGCGATTTCATTTTTGCTGATAAAATTTTGACAGTTGTTGTTAAATCAAAATAAAGATCTTAAATTAAACAAAGTAAACGCTTGGTTTTATTTAACTATGATATTCAGCTCTTTGAATAATAGTAACGACATAATTTGCATTTTCCTAAAGAATTCATAAGAACCTGGAAAACTGAAAACTTCTGATCCATAATTAAGCAAAGAGCACAAGTGGACCGCAATTTTACCAATTGCAGATTTTTTTAATGAGAGCCTGAAAAATTCCAGCCTGAACGCGATTCGAGCCCGTCCCCGCCTAGATAATATGAGCCGGTTATTTACTCGAGGTCTGACCCCAATCACTGTTTTACTCAATCAGTAGTCCTCAGGTTTTCTCTATAAGAGAGTTAATTTAACTAATTAAAATGATTGTTCTTCCATTGTTAACTTTTCTAACTAGTAGCGAGAGGAACTGATTTGTTCAGGCTCCTTCGATCAAACGCCCTAGAAAGCGCCTGCCTGGTAAGCTGCCAAAAATACGCAAATTATATCACATATTTTAGCAAAATGTAACCGTAGGAGTCAGTTTTTAGCAAAATTAAGCGTCCGTCCCTCACCATTTCCTTTTGAGTTAAAGCTATTATAAAAATGCGGCATTGCACCTTTTCGTGTAGGATTCTTAACTGACTGAGCCTTGCCAATTTCGAGAACCAAAAAATAATCTTTTATGGGACAAGAACGGGTAAAGAAAGGATTAACACAGATCTAAGATATAGATTTTAATAAACTTAGGCTAAATTAAAAATAAATAATTTTTTAGGTGTATCATTACTTTGAAAGTACCTACAGCATCACAAATATTTATCTGTAGCTGGAGTTTTGAGAATTAGGCTGACCACAGAGTTGGGTTTTAATCATCCTCACGGCGGTCAAATCGAAATAAAATGCAGCGAGAAAAGAACAAACAATCAACTCCTCTTGCAAATAATTCCATGCATGTCCGGCTACTGCAATAGCGAAAAAAGAACATCGTTAGCCTACTGGTAAATGCCTCTGGCCGATCAAAGACTGATAAAAGAGATCAATAGGTAAAGCGAGAAGTTTTATTTTACGACTTTAGAGATAATATTGGAAGTCATGAACCATGACCAACCAAATGTTCCCTTCGCGGGAAAAGTTTGACTGCACATAGCGTCCATGACAACGGAATCGAAGCGTCCAATCAGGGTTCAGAACAGAAATATCCAAGCTTCGCTTCCCATACTTCGTCGAGCGTAAATGCAAGATGGTGTATAGTTCAGCCTACAGACGGGCCTATAGAAAACCTCTGTGGGATGATTATGGTAAGGAAGAATTTATTAGTAAGTTGCAGTATAGGTCAGATCGAAGGTCAATAGAACATCGCCATCAGCCTTGGAGATGGGACAGCGAAAGTGAAGAAGAAGATATTGAAGAGATTCCGGCACACGATGGCAGTTATGATGGGGGACGCCGTCAGTTTCATCCAGACGAGAAAAAAGCTGATAAAAAACCGCCAAAGAACGCATGGGAAGAGGAGAAAGATTTCAAAGAGAACGATCATGCTGAAAGAGCCTTACCTTTGCCCGAAAGACTTAAGTTTGACGAAGCAGAGAAAGAAGAAAAACCAAAATATACGCGTTCTGCGGAGGACGCGAGACTAAACGAACGTGAGTCTCGCGGTGGCAGAGATCACAGGCGTAAACATCACAGATCGTCGGGAGATGAAAAGAAACAGCGATCACACTCGAATTCACCGGAAAAGGATCCAATCTCTAGGGATAGAAGAAAGAAAGCGCCCTTTCTCCCTTATGGAATGGCTAACGAAGGACCTGTAGACATGTGGAAAACTCATAATGTGTTGGCTTCACAGCCCGAGGCGAGTAAACAAATAAAGATTTAGTTAATTTTAAAAACAATGTTGTCGGTGGAATATTGTCGGGAGGTAATCATAGCAGTAACCTTTAGAGCATATAGTTTGACCTATTATGAGGCAAAATTGTTAGCAAATGAATCTTATGCGGAGATGTACGTCTTCAAATCCTCCATTGAGAGTTTGTTTCTTTTTGTTAATTAAGGAACTAATTTTTGGAGTGCAATGAATGTTAAATAATTTATTTAAGTGCTAATGGCGGAAAAAAGCTTCTTGTTGTACTTAACAATTTTGCTTCCAAGATCTAATGATCAAGTCTCTGTACTGTCTGCTCATTTTGGCCTTAAACATTTGGCATTAACCTAAGAAATCACCCATCAGTTGATCTAATTCCATCTTCTCCTCACCTTTTTTAGTAAAAATGTACTTAAGTTCTATGGAGGAATTTTTTCATGATCCTGGGACTGAATGGGTTACTCTTACTAATATTCCATCCATTTTTTTTCTTTCTTTCTTTCTTTTTTTTGTTTTTTTGTTGCTTAATGTGAAGTAAATAACATTTAAGGGGGAGTAGTGTCAAAATTGTGTCTCACTGCTGTTTAAGCATGGGAAAGGTCTTCTGATTGGCTCTAAGTTGGCACCATTATTAGACAAGCATATGGAGGGAACTTTGAAAGATAAATCTGAGTTTGCAGGGCTTGTTTTTTCCTTGCATTCTGTTACTTTAACAAGTATTTGTTTTTATTAGGGGTAAGGGAAGTGGAATTGTTTATCATTATCATTGTTTACCATTGTTGGTCTGAAAATGATATTTTGCCTTGTGGCACCTTTTGGCCATAAAAACACCACCTTTTTGTCCATGGTTGTACATTACTTACTACTGAAAACATAATTCACAGCAAGATAATATAGGGATGTGTGATGTGCAATATTTAAGACAGGAAACACATTTAGGATATGCTACACGTACTTTAAGTGACTGTAATATATAGATTTAGCCAAGCCTAAAAGCGGAGCTCATATTTTTTTCCCGCATGTCTCAAGGGCATAACAGGTTGCCCCTGCCAGGACTAGAACCTGGGTCATCTGACTCGGAGCCCAGTGCACTGACCACTGGACTACTGAACAAAGCCGTGGCGTTGGCACACCCATGGTACAGTTGACCATGCATGTTAAAAGTAGCACCTTGTGTAGTCGTACGGTCATACATCCAAATTTTTTTGGCTTGATGGGTTACTACTATTTTGTATAATTATGGGGTTATGCTCTACGAGCTCCGCTATTACTAACCTATGTGTACACATTGAAACTCTCATTTCTGGTAAGCCTTTGATGCATCAGAGTGACTAGCATCTAATTTCTCCTCACAATTTTGCCTCAGAATCACTCATCATTAGGCCATGAGAATGAAAGAAATGATCACCAACCAAAGAAGCTCTTGAATTTTAAACAAATTCTCCTTTTTAGCACCTTTGGAAATGAGCACAGAATAGTACAAAGAATATGCCTATTGATCTTAACGGGTAAAGTAAAGTTAATCAAGTAAAGTATTAATGGCCATGTTCATTATTACTGATAATTTGTTTACTGGGTGGTTAAATAAGTTTTGAAACTCTTCCTTCAGGTGTATCCTGCTGCTCTTCGTGCACAGAAAAGAAGACAACAAGAGATTAAAAAGAAAGCTCAACTGCGAGAAGAAGCAGTAAAAAAGAAGGAAACACCAGCACATTTTGATGTGGATGTTGCATTTCCAAAAACCTGGTGGATGACAGAGTATCAGAGAAACTTTTGTAAAGAGGAAGATGTCAAGAGACACTTTTTGAGATAACATGTACTGTACATTAAATGACCAAGTGCTTGACTTTTGAGTACATGCCAACCATCACAGTCAAAAGTGTTTGTTCTTAATTTTAGAGAGTGGTAATTATCACAGCCATGTAGTACTACTTGTTCTCAAACTCATGAGTAATTCATGCTGAGAAAACAAAGGAAATTACAACCGTGAAAGAGGTTTGGATATGTGGTCTTAATTATCATAAAATTTGGTGAACTTTTGCTTTGATTTTCTTCAAGAATTATTAATGGTTTGAGAAGCTATATCAAACATTTGAAAGGGTGTTTCATCTGATATCCAAACACCTTGAAGTTGGTTAAAAAAAAAACTCAGCTGCACCTCATTTTTTCAACCACTTCTCAGTGTTTAGATATCAGATGAAACACTCTTCCCCATGTTTGATATTTTACATCAAGCAAGCTCAAGTACAAAGTTCATTTACTACAAAATATGATTCATAGATTTGAACATTTTTTTAGTGTATAGTTTTTTAGTCAAGTTTGTGCTTCAGTAGAGTGATCATTTTTTAACTAGATTAAAGCATAAAATACTGTGATGTAATCTCATGTGAATTGTGTTCAAATGTCTGTTACTCCTGTTGTACTGCATTGGGTATCCTTCCTCCTAATCTTCATGGAAAGTTTTGACAGGAGCATTTTTTACAACTGAGCTTCCATTTACAAATCTCACTGGTAAGGTAAGCTGGGATCTTCTCATAAGTTCTGTGAGTAGTTCCCTCTCTATTACCTCAGGCCTCTAATGGAAACTGTGTTTTTACCAAGTAGAGAGCATTTCTGAATCAGCAAAATCCCATGGCTGTGCATGAGGCAAAATACAGTAAGATTAATTAAGAGATTGCCCATACCATACCTCAGAAACTAACACAGTGTCCTCCTCCCCATTTTTTGTAGTAAAGTATATTGCCTCTTTACATGTAACATTAGTGTGTGAGGTTTCAAGGGAAAGGTTGTCTGATTTTAGCAAATCACTTTCACCTTAACCCTTAATTGACCCAAAAGGGACAAGCATCTAAGTTACCTTCCAATATCACCCATGAATTGCATATTAAAGTCTGGAAGATATGATCATCACCTAAAGAAGCTCTTGATTGTGAAACAAATTCTCCTAGTCACTCCCATTGGAAATCTACCAAACAGTGTAGAGAAAATACATCCTGATGTTGGGGTGTAAAGCTAAGGGTGAAATCCACTTGCACAGGTCAGTACACATGCCTTAACAAGTTATCAGGACAAACTTTTCTTCATGTAGTAGATTTGGAAATTTGTGAAATCCACACTACAGTACATCCTTACTGACAACAAATTCAATTTTTTTTGTGCTTAATTATTTACACTGAAAATAATAATAAGCAAAGTTGTGTTGCATACATACCACGGATCAATATCAGTATCTGGGCAACTGCCCATCTACCCCTCCCCTAACCCAATAACAGTCAATTTATAACAACTAAGGGTTAATGTTGGGTTATGGGAGGGGTAGGTGGGCAGTTGCCCAGGTACTGATATTGATCCCATACCAGTACCAAAATGATTACAGGTGGCAAGGTTATTCTCTATTACTGATTCTAAATGATTACTTTTGTGCTGGTTGTATTTAGAGCATCTGTGTGTTTGTAATATTAAAAATGCATGTCAGCCCCATTTCACATTTGCAGCTACACCAAAAGAAAGAAAAAAAAATCAGACCAAAAGTTCATCCACTCCTATACCACACATTTTATAACTGTTGCAACAGTGGCAAAATGTCAAGCATGTTCTGGGGTGGAAAACTTTTCTACCAAAATTGTTGGGAGTTTTTCTTTTCTCATGCATTCCATTTTTATTTCCACTATTTTATAAGATCTGTGGTCTTTGAAATTGCCCCATGTGATTCAATGAGCTTAATAACAGTTTTAGCCACTATCAAAATAATTTTAGAAAGTGACTCAATTTTTCTTCTCTGCTGAATCAGTCTTAAAGTAACAGTTAACAATTGAACCTCACAAAGTGTGTCTTCAGCCCACAAAGAAAGAAATAAAGAAAAAGAACACAGGCTAAAATATCTAAAAAACCAATATCAACTATATGCAGCAATAACTACTGCAGCAAGGCCAAATTTAGACAAGCAAAGAATTTGACCCAAGTTCACATTAACTAAGGTACATCCCTATCACACAATTTCTTTCCACACAGTTTTTAACCCTTTCACTCCCAGTAATGACCAAGACAGAATTTCTCCTAACAATATCAATACAATCTCAAAGACAAGTGATGAGAATATAGAAAAATATCAGTTAGTAAATTATCACTGACTCAATACCAAATTCTCCAAACTAAGAATAAGCAATGTATGGCAGACAGTAAGGAGAATTACTAAAGAGATCATGGGTGTATAAGGATTAAAACAGTAAAGTGACTACACAGGCCAAAATGTGCTTATATATCACAAGTGGTAATTGAATAGATTCCATGTCGTGGATGAGAACACTCAAACAGTGTAGTGTGACATTTCCATTTTAAAAATGAAGACTGAAACTGCATAACAGTTTTTGAAAAAAAGACTAACTACAGTAACTTATAATATCAGAATCAGGTAAAGACATCTTTGGGTTGTTATCAATGAGCACTCTCTGAGTGCCTATTTAGGCTAACAATTTAACAATATGGAAATTTAATTCAATTTCCAGACATCAGTAACAAACTCATCCTTGACAAGTTCCTCAAAGGACAATGTTACAGTGCATGTACCAAAGCCACTACTACTAACTTAAGACAATCACAGGACCAAAAGGCTATTTCACAGGTGTTTTATAAAAACTTAGCCCCTGAGGGTAACTAGCATCTAGTTTCTCCTAAAAGCAGCATTCCTGAATCAAACATCAAGGTAAAAAGACTAGAGGCTGGCTTTCACTTAGAAGGAGTAAGTGTCATAATCAGAATTACAGAGCATTACAATCAAGAGGAAATCGAACTGACTGGATAGGTTTTGAATTTGCTGCCACTTGAACTGGCCTTAAAGGAAATAATTGCCAACAAAACAAGGTTATGACTGCTAAAAAAATTATCTTTGTCAGTTCCACAAGAAACAACTAGAGAACTGTATGAAGAATAAGCATACTGATGTTAGAGAGTAAAGCATTTGTATGCAACAATTCAAACTCGGCATGCACTTTAAAAATGCTAGTTACTAGGGGCAATTTAGTAACTGTGCCTTTGTTTAACGTTTTTTTTGTTCAGCCATTGTCAGGTAATAACTGATACCAGTGTATTCTTCCATTTAAACTCTGGCAACCTACAGGCATGCAAGAATATATTATTCATTTGAAAGACATAGGATCACATAACACTGAAGCATCAACAGGAAAACAGAAAATATGTCAATTGTACAGTTGAACCTTGCTTAGCCAAACCTCCTTTATCCAGACCTCGATAATCTGGATTTCATTTTTCAGGACTCATCTCTCTGGTTCCATTTTTTGTGAATATTCATACCTAATATGTGAGATCTGTCACAACTTTTTCACATCTAACAAAGCAAATGTAATGCTATTCTATTAGTGGAGCTCCATGGAATGATAAAATTAGCAACATACACACAAAAGCAGCTTAAAACAAACTGATTTACATCATCATTTTATGTCATATAAGGTTGATGGTTAACTTTACTGTCTTTTTAAAAATTTTTGGAAAATTCAAAAGATGATGCACAGTGATTTATATGATACACACTCAGTTGTAGTCTTGGCTCCTTAAAATTCATATTTTACATCATCTGAACTTTTGATTATCCAAACTTTTCAGCCAAATCCCCACGACTCTGGATAATCAAGGTTTGCCTGTACTACTTTGCAGTGATTGGTTATATTTGAAAATGTTGCAACCTTTTCTTTTACATCCAACCCTCTGATTTGCCTTCACTGCCTTGGTGGCAATGTGTTTCAGTAAATGTAGAAGATCTGTAATTCTAAGTCTAAGACTGCAAGACTCATTGGCAGCTAAGCTGTACACATACTTATTACAAAATGTTAACAAGGAATCAGTAATCTATCTTTACTTAAGAGCAAAGGAGTATTCAATAATATCTTGTAGGTTTATGTGTTGTATTCACCATGCAGGATTATTTATCAAGCTTTTAAGGAGATGATTATGCACCCACTGCAATTACAAGTCTATCATACATCACTTTTTTTAAACCACAAAAGTCTTGTATTCAACTAACTATGCAGACTTAACAAGGTTTCTTTACTACTGTAGTAAGATTGGAATGAGATTGAGGTTAGCATGCACATTTCTGCCGTTCTTCCTGTCTCCCAGGCCGTATTGATCTTCGGAGTGATGGATCACCATACTGAATTCCTGAACCCATCCTGTCTGGGTCCAATTCACCTGTAGAACACAGCAAAGAAAAATTGTGTTCAGTTATTGACATTTCATGTACTAGTTGAAGACACGATTACCGGTAAGTGATAGAGTTTTCAAAAAACATTGTTGCATTATACACAATCACTTAAGCTAAACAAAATATTGTGGTTGTACCATCCATCAATGCAGTATTCATAATGATAAACTACTTAGAAGACTACAAGTTTAGTAGACAGGTAACATTCAGGTGAAGTCAGGAATGTCTTTGACAGAGTGTTAATAGGAGACTTGAGACCCAGGCAGGTGGTATACCACTCCACAACAATCCCTGGGGAAAGGAGTTACCCTAAGTAACTGGGTGGTCCTCAGTGCTGACACCTAACCACTGTAGAGGTATGTAAGTCACCTACCAGTTTCAATTTTACTGAGGATGGTTCTTGAGCACTTTAAAAAGGCCTCTTCAACATTCTCTCCTGTAAGAGCACTTGTCTCTAGGAACATCAACTCTACATAGAGAAAAAAAAATCAGACAGTCAAAAAACAAAATTTTCTGGTAACCATTTGTCTAACAATGCAAACAATCTATTTCTTTTGAGCCTTATTCCTTTTCCTCCATGTATTTACTGACCATTCTCTTGTGCAAATCTGCTAGCTTCCAGAAATGTGACTTCTCTGTCGCTATCCAGATCTTTCTTGTTACCGATGAGGATTATGACAATGTTTGGACTGGCAAGGGTTCTGGCATCTGTCAACCAGTTTGTCAGAGAGTTGTATGTTTCACGGCTGCAATCACAAGCAAAAAAAAGATACTATATGCAAAGGTAATTGTTTCTGCCAACAATTGCCTTGAAAAGAATAATATATCATTATTTTTTAGTGAAAAATAACTGCAGCCATAACTTCCACCCTAATGGGTTTACCAGAGTTAGAGGAATTTTTAAAACCTGACAAATTAAAAGATAATAGATCTCCTAATATCTTTTATAATTTTTTTTATTTTCATTTTTTTATTTTTGCAGTAATATTTCTAGTATAGATCATCATTCACTGTTTTTTTTTTGTTAAAGCTTTTTCTTACAGAAGGCCACAATGTCATCAGTTCCACTACTGTCACATGCTCCCCTCTTAAAATAAAGTCTATAGATTGATTGATTGTTTGATTGATTGAATGATTGCCCAAGACAATATTGTAGCATGATGTAAGTTGCCCAATCTCAACTCTTCGACTCTGGTGTAAACTTTCCTTATAACATTCTTACAATATTCAGTAAACAGGTGATGAGAATACTCAGACTCATCAGGTAGAAGTTGTTATCTTGATCTAACACCAAATTCTCATAACTTATTCACAAGAAATTGTGTAGCAGTTAGAAGGGAGAATCAACAATCAGATGTTGGGATTTAAAGAGTAAAAGAGATGGGAATAAAGGATTACTCCTCATAAATGGCTCTATGAGACCGGGACTACAAGCGTAACCCCTTCGCAAAACAAATTAAAAAAATTCAAAGAAAAAATATTGCAACACTCTTAAAACTCAGAGAATGGAGGCTGGTGGGTAGAGGTTCCAAGAGTTCAAGCAGCACTTGACGTCAGCAGGAACTTCCCTCCTGGGCCCAATTGTTTGAAGGCCAATTAGCACTAACCCAAGGTAAAATTTTAATCTGGGTTTCTTTATTGCTTTAGCCAAAAGCCTTTTTGGGATAATTTTCCATGTTCTTTTTAGTGCATCAAATAGTCATATTCCAGACAAAAATAAATTAGACTGAATTTTCTTTTAAAGCTTTCAGATCTGGCCCAGGAGTCCAGAGCAGTCAAGTTGTACATGAACCATTAGCCACTTGTCTCTCCCAAGTGTTCCCCAAGTACCTCAGTCTGCATAATGAGGTTATTTACCTTGAAATGTCATAAACCAGAAGAGCTCCTGCTGCTCCTCTGTAATAACTCCTCGTCACAGACCTATCATCAAAATAACAAAAATGAAAAAGATGCTTTGAGGGAAAGAGAAAATTTTTGTGAAATGGAAAGAAGCCATATACTTTATTAGTGACCCCTAAGCCTTGTTCCGAGACAAAATTTTAATTCATCAAATATAGGAGTAACAATATTGCCTGAGGTAAATAGATTCCAGACTGGGCCAGCAAATTTTCTTGCTCTCTTGTCCATTAGGCCAAGTCCCAGCCAAAACATACTTTCAGTTCTCAGTGCTGTCAGGAATTTATTATCTTAGATCCCTGAAAATATGTAACCAACTGCCTGAAACAGAGCCAATGAATTTGCAATCTATATTATCAAACTGTAGATAAAAATGCAGGATGGCACTAAGTAAAACTGAAATCTTGGTTGACACCTATTGAGTATTGTTGAAACTGTTACAGATGAATATCTCCATATAAGAACTTATCCTTAAAGGTTGCTACATTTTACAATTGAAAGGAGAAATGGTATCATCTCTATTTTTGTTAAGCTCTGTTGCTCAAAATTGTGTTTAACTGTATGTTAACTGTACGACACAACAATATGTATTACATATTTATTTCTTTTGAGAATTTTTCACCTATAATTTTTAAGGACAGGGTTCTCCCTAGTTTTTAGCACAACAGGTAAGGGACCTTTTCAAACCAGTAAAGCACATTTGCAGCTTCAGGTAGCTGGTGATCCGCAACTTTGTCATTGCCTAAAGGATACAGTACATTGCGCCTATCAAAAATTCTCCATCGAAAAATTCATAATGTGAATGATACACCTTTAGGTTCAGAGGTTGAACAAAACAAAGTAAAATTTTGTTTTAAAGAATTATATTTGACTATGCCCTTTCCAAACTGCTTATAACGTAAACTGGTCTCCCTTTGATTTGGGTGATATCTTTGGCATCACTTACATGGCATGTCACTGAAAAATCAGCAGTGTCAGCTATGAATTGCATCGCTATGAAATCGAATCACATTGAATAGCTGAATTCATGTTCTAATCATCTCAAATTCAGAACTTTTACGCTGTTGAGAGATTTTATTTTCAAGACTTCTTTCAAACCATTGTCTGAAACACATTTCAAGTAGAATTTCCTGATGAAGAATAGCTTTGTCCCCACATGTTCATTATACATCTTACAATTGTAGAGCTGTCAAGGCAGTTATTTCTGGTAATTGGCTGCTTATCCATCACTAGTATGTAACCTTTGTTTTGTTTACCCCTAAAATTCTTGTAAAGCTTACCAGCCACTCTTCGTGACCTCTTGTTACTGGACAGAAACGACAGCATTGTTTGCTGCTGTTTCATCGTGGAAACTGAACAATGAAACAACACCACATTTGCACATGCAGAGAACTGACAAATGTTATGAGATTTAGCTGAAAGCCCGCGAAAAATCACTCTTGCTTCGAAATTCAAAAGATACCAGTCAGTTTTAGCTAACTAAAGCACACATAGATCTCAAATAGTGCACACTGGTTGCTTGTTATTACGCTTTCTTAGCAGATTAGCTCACCAAAAATGTGTATTTTTTAAGGGTTCTGAGCATTTGCAGAGAGTAATAAGCGCTCTTACAAGTGGTAGGAGTAAACAACTGGTTACCACCTGATAAGGAGAACCCTGTAAGGCTGAAACTGATTTTGTGAACGAACTTTGCCATAGTCACTTAAATGATAAGTTATCAACTTTTCCCACAAAAACAGAATTAAAAAACAAGATGTGGAAAGGCTATAGGATTTTGACTAATTTTAGCCATGTACAGCTAATGCCAAAAAAAAGGAAAAACACTTGCTTAAAATTGATTCGAAAACGTATGCATATCTCTTGAAGGAAGTAGAAAGTCATACACTGCACAAGCTAACAGGGATTTGAATAAATATTAGAAATTCGAAATCGTAGCGATAAAAATTTGAAGGATGTGGAAAATCATACACTGCACTGGCTAACAGAAGCTTGGATAAATTTACCTGAATCTTTCCTGTCCAGCTGTGTCCCAAATTTGCAACTTCACAGACTTGCCACCAACATTGACTACCTTGGAGCCGAATTCTACACCAATAGTGTGGCTGGAGTCTTGCTTGACTGCCAAACATACGAACAATTTTAAGATGAACATACAAACGAGTGCAAGCAAGAGACAAAAATCCAAAACAACAGAGAAACAAAAAAAATAAGCTCATCAAAGCAAAAGGAGTCAAGTAATTCAAATCTGCAAAACGTATCAATATCGACGTGTTATGTAAAAAAAAATATGCAACTTGGCATCTTTCAGGTGCACTGTGTTTTATTTGACACAAATAACGTTGTAACTTACATTTCCCCTCTATAAATTGATGTAGAATGCACGACTTTCCTGTTCCAGCGCTGCCGATCACCAAAAACTTAAATAGGAAATCTGCGGGAAAAATAATAAAACAAAACAGTTTAAATTTCTTAAAATTGTGCTGACTAGCGATCGACTAAACATCATTTGGCTGGGAACAGCTACACTCACGCAACGAAAACACAGCTGATTAACAAAGTGCTATTTTCTGAAATATTAAGAAGTAATTTCTGCTTTACCATAGTTCTCTGACATGTTTCCAGCTGCTTGAAAACGAAAAATTTATGAGTTGAAGGAATTGTTCATCACAAAATGTCCGCTAAGTTGAAAATTTCCCAGGATTCTACATTGCTAAACGGAAAGAAGTTGTCATATTCCTCTAGGGCAGGCTAGGGAATATCTTGACATCGATTAACTTCATCACATATTTCTATTCAAGTGGACAAATATTTTAGTTGAAAATATCAAAATATATATTCCCCACGACTGATAATAACTTTAATTGAATTATACGTTAATTCTAAGAATTTATGCCCAAAAAACTTTGTTACTTACCCCTCCCTGTCAAAGGCCATTCCTCCCCATGAGTATGCGCAATCGGAAATTGCGCGGCCATTTTAGAAGTTACAAAAACGTTCGTAGTTCAATTTCAAATTACGCGTGATAAATTTCGCGTGATATGGAAGTGCGGCAAAGTGGCAGTAAGTTCAACGGGAAGCCCTTGATTGGACTATTGCAGTTGCATCCTTCAATGTTTTAATATTCTTTTAATAATGCTCGTTTTTAAAGGTAGTGACGAGACAATGACACAGACCCAGGAAGATTCGCACGATTTGGATTCAAAGTTATTGGGTCCTGTTCCAATTGTTGTGGCCACAGAAACCCACACCTTTAAGCTCGCCGAGAAGGCTTTGGAAGATATCTTGCTCGATGAAAGTGTTAGAGACAAGAAGGTCGCTGTAGTATCCGTTGCCGGTGCATTCAGGAAAGGAAAATCGTTTTTACTGGATTTCTTTCTCCGGTATTTAGACAGAGAGGTACGCAGTCTGTGATTCATGTACGTGTTTTGGCAAATTTTTGTACATTTTAGTCGGTGACAACTTCATCAAACATCAGAATAAATGGCTAACATAACAGTGGCTGATACACAGCATTGAAAAGTTATTTCTTGGTTGACATAGGCTTAATATAAAACCAGAGAAATCGGAGATTTAATGCGTTTCCCAAAATTTGAATTATTTAGTGTAAGAAACGCCGTTTGTGTTGATACAGGTGGAAAACAAAGGAGTCTTTCAACGCGTTTTCGAGACAATTTTTTTGGTTTGTTTCATGAAAATGTCTTGAGAAGGATTCGCTTTGTTTATGTCAGATATCATATCTTTTACATGTGTGTAAAACTTTATTTATTGATTATAGAGTAATCTATATTAGATCCCTAGCAATTTAGTTATGCTTACTTTGTTAAGTTTGTGCAAGCAAGGTCTGTGTAGCTGTGCATGAATTTCCTTTTGGGGGAAATTTTCTTTCATTCTGGTTTCATGTTATACCATACTAAGCTGAAATGAAATAAGACACCACTTGCTGAAGGATTAATGAGGTTAATACTACTATTTTACATGTACAGTCAAGCTTGCACAGATATTTAAGATTAATTTAGTCATGATACTCTGTATATCAATGTGTACTTTGTACTGTCTAAAAGACATTTACCTGCTCATGAAATTTCATCAGCAATAGATTACAATACTTACAGACAAGGAGGTAAAATAACCTAAGCCTGTATTTCCAAGGAATGGTAGGGAAGAAGGAGAAAAATAAAGCATGCTTCTTTGGTTTTCCATTTTCTCAATTTTGAGGTGTACTTAAGTGTGTGTTAACCCTTTAACTCCCATGAGTGACCAAGACAGAATTTCTCCCTACAATATGGATACAATATCAACCAGATAAGTGATGAGAATAAAGAAAAATATAAATTTGGGGTTAATTAGTTGTTCCAATACTAAATTCACTGAACTAACATCATAAGAATTGTATGTTTGACAGTAAGGAGAGTTAGAAATTTGATCTGGGAGTTAAAGGGTAGTTAAGGGGGGAAAGATTACATTTAGTCTACAGAGCCAAAAACTGTGGTCATAATTAGATCTTTTTGGTTCAGCCACCCCATTTTTCCTCTTTTTGTTCAAGGCACCATGTTTAATTCTTTCAATTCTTCATTTAAATGAACTATTTTGGTGGCTCGCTGTAGTTGACACAGTTTAATTGTAGTAGTTAATCTCAGACATTAACATCTCTTTGGTTAATTAGGGAGCTCAAGATTGGATTGGAGGAGAGAATGAAGCCTTGAAGGGTTTTTCTTGGAAAGGGGGGTCTGAGCGTGATACCACTGGCATCCTTCTGTGGAGTAAGCCATATATAAAAAAGCTCCCCAATGGAGAAGAGGTTTGTTGGAAATGCTTATTTTTATCCCTTGCCTGTAAAGATCTGAGAGTCACTTTTCCTTGCTAATGCCTTTGGTTTGTCTGTCTTTGAGCATTAGAAAAGTTGTTCTCATCATATTAATGCAGAGTTTCCACTAGTTTTGATAATTAAGAGTCCTTGGGACCCCCAGTTCCAAAAAGTTGGGGTCCTTTTAGCATTTTAGGGGTCCCCTGCCTTTAACTTAAATTTGATTTTATAGTTTTTAACAGAGAGGTAAAATGAAGACTAGGTGGTAACACAATAAAGCTTTAATTTTGGAATAGTGTGCTCATGTTTCTTAATACCAACAGTTCTAGTATTAGTTTTCTAGTAAGAGTCTCACCTTGTCTTAGTTTACAATATATGCTTAGGGTTAGGGATAAATAATAATTTTAATAAAAATACTCATAATTAAATGTAGTAATGATGTGAGAAATACATGTGACATACATATCAAGTCACAGTCAAGTGTCTTTCTACTGTTTTACTTTCTTCTTTTATTCATTTCATAGAATTTCTTTGTTGCTCTATCACAAACACTTTCCTCGTAGATCTACATGTGTTTTGGATGCATAAGGAACATACATCTTACATCCAATTGCACTTGGGAACATTTTATTTCTCAAAGCCTCATGAATGTGATTTTGTGCCAAAAACCCTCTTTCACAAGGCACAGAAGTGAGAGGAATTGTTTGAAAAACTTGTGCTAGGGTTACAAATGAAGGGAATATGTCTTCGTAAACACCTGGCTTTGCAAGAATTTCACACAGTTCATGAGGTTTGTCCTTGTTACTATTAAGAAAGTACTTAAACTGGATAAATGAATTTGCTTTATCAGCATCAATTAGACTCTCTTCTTCAGATGTATTAGTATATCCCTCAGTTAGTCTTTCTAGATTCTTGGTACCATGATTTCAAATTCCAGCTGCTATGCTGTGTAATTTGGCAGGGTTGAGAATGGGATTGAAATCTTTAAGTACTTGCACATCTTTTTCAGGAAATCTCTCGTTTACTTCGGCAATGCTGTTGTCAATGGAATTGTCCTTGATTCCATTGAAACAATTTTTTGTGCCAGATTGAAGTCTTTGGTTCCTTTGTGTTCACAATCACTTGTGTCCATGTGGGACAGCAGCTCCTCCAAATACTCACCAGGATTTTCTTTTATGTCTTTGATTGTGACACAGTTGCTACTAGCATTGATTGCATTTGATCAATGTCAATCATGTCCTTGTGAAAGACTTTGCTGCATTTACTGATAACACCAAGTACATCAAGAAGGAAGCAAGTAGTTGTAATTAAAACAAAAGATTTCATTTTTTTAAAACCATACCCCTAGCTTTGCCTGCCCCATCATTGTTGCTAGATATTGCTTCATGATCCAGAGACAATATTAACAGTGTCAAGACAGAATAAATGGCCTCCACAGCTTTCTTAAGTTGACAGTCACTGTACCTGAGTAGGTTTCTTGAAACGTTGAACCTTTTGATTCATTAGGTTCTTTAATTCCTTGAGCTTGTTGTACCCAACAGCAGAATATTCAAAGAAATTGTAGATGCTTTTTACTATTTCTTCATAGCTAACCAGATAAGGGGCAGCCTTGGAAGCCCAGTGTGCAACTAAGGGCAGTTTGTGAGCAACACACCAAACGGAAACTGTTTTGGCATTTACCCTTTGCAGTCATACAGCAAACCATTGTGACAACCTGTCATGACTGAAGTGCCATCTGTTCCCAACCCAGAAAGCTTTTTCACTGGAATGTTGTTTGAATTAAGATAATTCAAAACTGCAGAATAGATGGTCTCTGCTTTACCATCCTTAAACTCAAAATTAGCAGCAAATTCAATCTTGGCTTTTCTCAGAACAAGTATCTTGAAAAATAAAACCAACTTTTTCTGAACTGCTATGTCAAGACTTTCATCCAACCTCAAGTCAACTAAAGGACTGTGTTTGATTCTCTTTAGGGCATCTTCAATGCACACTTCAGAAATACAGTGTTGTAACTCAGCAGCAGTAGAGTTATGTTTAAATCCCATCACTTTTCTTCAGATCTGAGCAACCATTGACGATCTGTGAAGTAAGAATCAACACCACACATAAACAATTAGTAAACAAGAAAAAAGTTTCGAGTGGACTACCTGTCTCTTAAATGAAATCAATAGTCTTAACTAACCTGAAAATCAATCAGGGCATTGAATTTCTTGTCAGGAATTTCCTCTTTTCCCATGACAAAAGCTGTTCTTACTTGAACCTTCAATGCTGTGCTTGCCTTCTCTTGAACATGATGCACAACAGTCTCATGAGATCTTCTCTGTTTTATGATATTCATGGCTAGGATGTGGTAATTACCAGACTGATGTTGTGTCAGACTTGAGCGCTGAAAATTATTTGCTCCATGCACAAAACTTTGTAATGGTTTAGGTTGACAGCCATATGCATTGAGAAAAACTTTTTACTTTGTTTTTTTTTTTAAGACCATCTAGGACAAAATTTGTGTTTCTTCCCTTAGGTATCATCCCCCAGAACTGTATCACTTTCAGGTTTCCTCTTTTGAGTATCAAATATATTGAATAAACTCTTTTGAGTAGACATGCCTTTGACTGTGACAAAATGGCAGATCATAGTAAATGTAATGATGATCACAGTGATTTTTGGGTGGGGCCTGCCACACCCAGTCTCCTAACTAGCTGGAACTTTTTTCCTTCATTCCAAGGACACACATTTGCAAATACTGTGCATCCTTTTCATTTCATTCATTTTCATTTTTCACATCTGTGCGTTAATGGGAACTCTGTTAATGATGGATTCTGTAACAGGTGAAGCATTCTCCTTTATTTGTTTCACCTTTTTACTTGGCTTTGCATCAACAATTGTTCATATGTGTTTCACAAGATCTCATATTTTACTTTACTCTTCAGCTTAAGATGCAGCTTAGAATTAGATACAGAGTGAGTGCGAAGCTCAATACTCAAAACCAGTTTTCATCTTCACCTGATTAAACCTGTAGAAAACTCTGTGTTCTTACTGATCTTCACATTCTGGAACAAACCATAACCAAGTTTGTGTTTTGATCAAGTGCAGTTGGATAATTTGTTAGTATTATTTTTTCTTGGGATAACTACTGTTTAGTGTTTTGTGGCACATCAAAAGGTTGGAACACAAACCGAAAAAATACCTTGAAAGCAGCTCGCATTCTAATGGCTGACTTTGTTGGTGGAGGTTTCAAAATCATTTTATCATTTGCTCTGTTCTCATTTTGATCATGTGTTTCTCTTGGACATTTATTGCAATCTGTTGAATGTTTCTGTTAAGGGAAATATTTGATGAAAATATTTTCCTTGTGGATAGATTTTTCACTTATCAGCCTTAAAAAATCAGATTAAGTGTGAGGGAAACTGCTGGAAGTTTAGTATGTACTTATTAATTGAGTGTGTGGGTCAGACAAGAAAGTATTTGGCTCTTTATCATGACGCACAGACATCACCACACCAAGTCCTTATATCATGAGCTAAATATTTTCTGGTTGAGCCTACCCTTTCCTTCTTTCTTCAACTTATCATCTTTGGGGTCATACAGCTTTGTAGCAGCCCTGCTTATACCATGAAGTACAGTTATCAAAACTGGACTTTTTAACAATTTATTTTGAAAAATATATGAAGTTGTTCTCTTCCAACAGATTGCTGTTCTACTGATGGACACTCAGGGTTCATTTGACAGCTCATCAACAGTAAAAGACTGTGCAACAATATTTGCACTCAGCACAATGACCAGTTCTATCCAGGTGTGTTGGTTTCACTCATTGAGGAGTGCACATACCATAGGCTTGTGAATGATGGCAAATTCAATTGCAGAATTACTGACATTATACAGCCATATAGCTTTCAGAAATTTGCTCATATCTTTTTTTTTTTTTTTTTTTTTTTTAATTGCCAAGATCGGCATAATCATTATGGGGAATTAGCTTTGAAGATCTGGAATTTATCTAGATGGAGTTTTTGCTTGTAAAGCAGGTGTTAACTTTTTGAAACTCTGAGAACTTCTCCCTGTAATATCAATATGATATACAATAAACAGAATACTCAAACTTATCAGGTAGAAGTTTTATCTTGATCTACCACCAAGTTCTCAAGTGATTATGGTGCATAGTTATTTTGTTGTATATCCTGCATGTGTTAAATTCTTTCTGCATTCTAATATACTATTTTGATTTCTCTTTACCTGTAGATTTACAATTTAACACATAATATACAAGAAGATGATCTTCAACATCTCCAGGTACATTTAAATTTTGTCGTGTGTTTTAATTTATACCTAAATGTCTGGCTGTCATGATGATTAGTGAGCAATGAAACTGGAAATAAGCTGTTGCTTAGACATTGTACATAGTGAATTTTGTGATCTGTTGATCAGTTCTGAAACTATTGCAAATTGGTTGAACAATTCCAGGGTAATACCAAGCATAAGTCTGAGTCATTAGAAATGATTTCCATACTATTCAAGCTGAAGTTATCAGTAGTGATTCAAAGTATTCTCTGTTTTCAATTTTAGTGAGTTTACACAGGTGTATGTTCCAATGTAATGCAACTTTCCCAAGACTCCATTTGCGATTTCTTGTGATATCTTTTCAAATACTTTTTATACATAATTTGAGTTTTGGGTGTGGCTTATCTGTAAGTGCAGCCCTCGACCAGAGCTTACTGTAATAACCACATCAGTGGGTAGGAGGCTCAGGCTAAGTGGTGATTGTGCTTAAACAAAGGGTGTAGTGGTTAGAATTGAGGAACTGGCTGGATTATCATGTTGTGTCCAATGAAGAGCATCGAGTTTTGTGGGAGAACTGACCAAATGGATGGGCAATAGATTAACTTTGCATTTAAGTTCCTTTTTGCAATTGAAACTGGCATGAACTATGGAAGTTATGTACCACTTGACCTTGTAGACTTCACTCTTTTTTCCCTCAACTGCTTTAGAAGGTAATAGTTTTGATATAAACAGTTCCTCTTGTCCCTCTGAGAAAGCAGATTTGCATAAGACATTTTTTCCTTTTCTACCTGAGTTTTATGTTTTTGTTTTTGTGCAGCTGTTTACAGAGTATGGCAAACTGGCAATGGAAGAAAGTGATATAAAGCCATTTCAAGTGAGAAAACTGCTTTGATTTATTTACCTAATGCATGAATGACCAATAAAAATGTTATGCCTGTGATTTTAGTGAATATTGATTGTGTCACAGGAAATTGTGATAAAATGTTTTCCCCCTCAAAGAGCCAGTTAAGAAAGAACAATGGCTTCGAAATTCTTTGAAAAACAGCAAGAATGATTAAGACCAATTATAGGTTGTCTCTTTTCATCACTATTGTATGTATATAATTTATCATTAGGATGTTAGGCACTCCAAAAATACTTGTGGATGACGGTGCTATCTCTCTCTACTAAACATGCTTCAAATTGGCAAAATTTTCTTCTTGTCCGAAAGTGCCCAACCCTAAGCGAAGCCCAAACATGGTCGCTTGCTGGCAGGCTGAAAAGACAGCGGCAAGTGGTCTTACAAAAGGCGGTAGACTATCAGTATCCGGGTTTTATTGAAACCACTGGAGATCCTGTGAAACAAACTGACGATAATGTTACAATCCCCGTTCTTTCAAAGTACAAATTTTGCTTGAAATTTATGAAGTTAAGCCGGTTGACAGATTCCCCCCTCCCCCCGCCGTTCCCCCAGTGAACCATGTGACCTCCCCCAAAAAAAGTTATCCTCCCCTCTCTCCCCTCCCTCAGGAGATAAACAATAACTGGGTTGGGGGGGGGGGGGGGGGGTCGTTGTGCATTTTTACCCTCATCTGGTTTTTCAGTACCAAAGGGTTACATTTCTGAATTATCCTATTTTTCCAGAGACTGATGTTTCTGATTCGAGATTGGAGCTTTCCTTATGAACAACCTTACGGAGCTGAAGGTGGAAACAATCTTTTAGAGAAGCGTCTTCTTACGACAGAAAAACAGCATTCTGAACTGATTCAAGTGAGGAAGCACATTAAGTCATGCTTCAGTGACATTGGTTGTTTTTTGATGCCACATCCTGGCATGAAAGTGGCCACAAATCCCACATTTGATGGCAGTCTGAGAGGTTGGTACTGGTTAGGATTACATTTAGGTACTTAAAAGGCAAACCACGAAGACATGGTAGAACAAGAGATCTTATGGGCAGAACAATACCTCAGCGCGTGCGTTTAAAAACTTTGTACATTTCTTAGCCGTCCTCATCAAAACAAAACTGGGATCTCACCAAAATTTGGATGATCTGAGAACGGAAACTCCGACGGCAAATAATTCATTTTCCAATTGGAAACTCAACGCTGCTAACATACATTTACGTTATGCCGAAGTTGAGGTTTGTCGCTTTAAGAGACGGTAAAAAATTTCTACCATTCACCAAATTCAATTTAGAAATAGGAAATAGAGATTTGTTTTTTAATCGTCGTGTTCCTTGCCGTCCTAACTGCCGATGGTCCCTATTGAACAGTCTTCATGCAAATAAAAAGAGACTTTTCTCCAAATATTGGCACCAGTAGAAATCCAATTGCTAAAATTTAACCTCGCAAGAAATCTGCATTGTGCGCTTTTCGATTGAATGTCATGAAACCAAAACCATAAGTTATCAAAACAGCCGATTAGAAGAAAGGAAACTACCTTTAGGAACCAACGAGAACTCGAAGGATAAAAAACAACCAAACTGCCTAAGCGGGCGACCGTGATTGGTTTTAGTTCTGGATCTGATTGGTTGAGGGAGAGGCGCGAGGTTGCTGGACCAATCACAGAGCGAAGTAAAGCAAAAGCCAAGCCCGGAGTACTTTGACACTTCATTCTCAAACTCATTAATAATTCATGCCGAGAAAACAAAGGAAATTACAACCGTGAAGGAGGTTTACATTTGTGATCTTAATTATCATAAAATTTGGTGAATTTTTGCTTTAATTTTTTCCAAGAATTATCAATGGTTTGAGAAGCTATATCAAACATTCGAAAGGGTGTTCATCCGATATCCAAACACCTTGAAGTTGGTTAAAAAAAAAAATCGGCTGCGTCTCGTTTTTTCAACCACTTCTCGGTGTTTAGATATCGGATGAAACACTCTTCCTTGTGTTTGATGTATTACTTGAAATTGCTCTATATATGATTACCAACCGAACCCGAAATGCCTAAGTTGAACAACAGTTCTAAACTGATTAGTCATAACTGACTTATGCTGCTCCAATAACATCACGTTAAAATTGGCCAACCAATTAATTTCACGAGCCTGACTGACCACGCGGCTGAAAAACAACTCCTCGCTTCACTCTTGGAAAATAGCTTCTGGGCAGATGGTCGGAAAGTCAATAATTGGCAGAATTACTCGCACCTGGATGATCGGGAAATTGGGGTTAGGAGGAGAGTTGCTTTATTAGTCTACCACACAGTGATGAGGGGAATCGTTCGCGTTATTTTATTGTTCTGGGAATTTTTCTACGTCACAATTGTCTGTGATTGACCAAATGTTTTGACTTGTTCTTTAGAAATTGAAGACGAATTTAAAGAGCAGTTACGAAAACTGACCCCATCGGTGCTTTCCTCTGAAAACCTTGTTGTTAAAAGTATCAATGGTGGAGAGGTGACATGCAGAGGGCTGTTGGAGTATTTTAAGGTTAGGGGAAATTACAGAATTGTGTCATTGGGCCTCTTTTATGTGAAGCCTTTAAGCTGGCGACCCATAAGGCGATTTCATAAGCCGATCGTCACCGAAAATCGTGAGTGAATTTCTCGTAAGCGTTTATTTCACGCTGCTAAAAAATTCCCCGAAACGAAGCATGCAGCCCAGTGAATTGACGGCAAGAGTATGTCTAACTGAAATTCTTGTGTAGTTTTTGCAATTTAAATAGCTTGTCTTTTGCAAGATTCACTCGCGCGTAACTTGACAAAGTAATCTGCTTCATTCATCTACTGTCAGAACGAAAATCGCGAGGAAATATTTTATGACAACGATTGTATTGTTTTTAATTATTTTTGATGGTATATTTTATAAACACTTATATTTATTGTAAAATTCTAATATTGTGTGTGTTAACGTTAGTTTTTTGCAACTTTCATATAGCATTAATTGGATGTAACTTTGATATAACATTCAAATTATGAAACTTTTACATAACACTAATTTTATGCATTTTTTATATGAGATTTATGTAACTGCGCTCAGGGCTCCTTTGGATAACAGGTTGCTTTCCAAGGACCTGAAAGAACAACCCTGAGCCTTTAGATTAAATAAAGGCGTCTGTCGTCTGTGCTTCTGTCTGCTTCATTTACCTGCTCTCAGAACGGAAGGGCTAGCACTCGAAGCGTCTGCGAAGAAACTCCTTTACGGTCGCTAATGAACATTATTGACTCAAAATTATCTGATTATTTCTGTCTGTCTGTTTGTTTCAACAGGCATATATGAAGATCTTCCAAGGTGAAGAACTACCGCAACCAAAGTCTATGTTGCTGGTAAGTTTTCTGTCGGTGAATAGCGAGGTTTTAGCGAGTGACACTGGCACAGAAAAGAGACATAAATTCTATTTATTTTTTCTTATATTTTTACTTTTCTTTCAGGCCACAGCTGAAGCGAACAACCTTGCAGCTCTGGCAATCTCGAAAGACTCTTACTCAAAACAGATGGAACATGTGAGTTGAAATACTTGAAAGAAAATTCGATTTATGCCGTTGACAGTAGGTCGACTCTGCCTTCGTTAGTGTAGTGTTTCTGCAATCTAAGAGGTAAAACGCAGCGTTTCAAATGCAGGCGGTGTATCGTCAAGTTCAGTTACAATTGTAAACAGAGACAAGGTTGGGTCGACGAAAAGGGAAAAGCGCAGATTCCTGGACGTAGGAGAAGATTCTCTAATTTTTCATTTTCATTTTCCAAGATTTCAATATGTCTTACGTAATTTCCTTTATTTCTTCTTCTCAGCTGTGTGGTGGCGACTCGCCCTACTTAGCGCCGCATGAACTCGAAAAGAAACACCAACAGGTGATGGAAAACTCGTTGACGATGTTTCACGGCACTCGGAAGATGGGAGGTAGTGAATTTAGCCAGGAGTACGCCGAAAGACTTAGGAAGGAGATCGAAGAAGCATTTGGGAACTTTGTTAAACTTAACGACGGCAAAAACATCTTTAATGCTGCCCGCACTCCGGCCGTCTTCTTCACGCTAGTGGTTATGGGATACTTTTTCTCTAGTGTGTTCGGCTCGATTGGATTGGTGGCGTTTACGCGCATGTGCAATCTGGTGATATGGTCCGGTCTGTTAGCTATTGTTGCGTGGTCCTACATTCGATTCAGTGGGGAGTTCAGAGAATATGGAGCCAAGCTGGATCACGTGGCAGAAGTTATTTGGGACGAGGTAAGGCAACAAAATTAAAAATACCGGAAATCGAGGAGGAACTACACACATGTTCAGAGTTGTCAACAAGAGTCGGTAGCCGGCCAAAAACGTTGGCCAATCTGCCATCTTTAGGTGGCAACTTTCACCTCTTTTTGCTGTTAGTGCATTGGTGTGAATGTGTCTTTAGGTTAAAGCAAGTAATCAAAAAATGAAGGGGATGTTGTGGTATCTAATGTTAAATGAATCCGCTTAGCTGAGTGAAAGACCTGGATATGTAGTTTATGTAATGAATCATATAGTAAGGGTCGGTTACATCAACAGTGTGTAGCCGTTGTGTAACAAAATCGCGCTCTATGCCATCTTCAATTTGCCAAAACATTTATGTGAATATTTGTTTGTGTGGTCAGTGTCAAGAGAGCCGAAAGCTCATAGTGGAAGGGCATTTATTTAATTAAATCAACCCCCTCAAAGAGAATACCTAGGTTCACTGCTTGCGTAAACCCGCGGTTTGGGTTAGACCTCGTGTAAATAGCCTGCCCTGACTCTTTTACTTTGAATTTATAACATGAAATTTTCCTTTCTTGGACGTCCCTTGTAAATTGGTTGAAAGAATTGGTGCTTTATCGAGACACCTCCCTCTTACTGACAAGTTTGTCTCATCTCATCGCATGTTTGCGGGAAAATGTTTAGACAATGTTGAGAGAAGATACACACAAATAGCTTCTCCGTACTGAAGGGTTAACCGTTATTTGTCATTATTATTTACTTTTCAGGCATTTATGCCAGCATATAATGCTGCATTTCAACGCGGTGTGCAAGCAGTGATAACGTCACAGACACAATCATCCAAGAAAACGAAATGATTGAAAAAAAAATCGATGATATAAAATCGAATATTAAAGCAGCTCGACTCACGGGAAGTTCAACTGCTCTTACAGACTATGTTCTCGCAACTACAAAGAGTAATTATTGCGAATAAGTTAATCACCAGTTACGAAAAACTTGGAGATATTTTGATTTTTGTCATAAAATAGACCTTTTGAGCGGTTTCTAGTTGGGTGTTGAAACATCAACAAAACAATCTTTTTTCTTTTCATTAACCCATGTAAGAGGACTCGAAGTTGATTTAATTCGTTTGCGCTCAAGCTGAACTGCGACTAAACTGGGGTGGAGACGTAGTCACATACTTTGGTTGGTTGGTTTGTTTGTTTAAATTAACTCATGAAGTAATTTTGGCACGCAATTGAAAACCGCTTGATAGGGGAAGGGTACAGGAAATGCCACAATTTTATCAGTAACTGTTGCAAAGTTTCATGACCTCATTAATTAGTGACACTTTGCAGTCCGTATGTCCAGTCCTCAATTGCTTTTGAACAACTAGCTTTTCCCAGGATGGCTATGGTGCTATGATAACAGTAAGAATTTTTTTCTTGCCCTCACTGGGATTTTCCGAATACTGCTCGGCTCATTGCGGAACGCATTCGTAAAAGGTTGCGGCTTACAGGAATTTCCGAAGCCGTCATTGGATATGGAAATTTTTTCTGTGAATTTCCAAAATCTTTTGCGTCAGTACTTTTTTGCTGATGGAAACTGAAATTATTTGAACAGTCAGACGACTTGTAAATAACGAAAATTGTTGGTGGAGAAAAAAAATTAACGTTGACCGTGTCGAAGGATTTAGAAATGACATTTTTGGAGAGGGGTGGTTTCAAACTGGCATTTAAACCTAGCACTTTTAAGTTTCTAATAACGCAATGCAAGATAATTTGCTTGACTCAAATATGTATTTACTTCAGATGGTTAGGAGTCTCAGTGGAAAATAAAACTCTTTATGCAACAGCAGCCTTGATACTTCTCGTTGAGTAACCCAGAACTGGGCTGTACGTGTTTGAAGGACAGCTAGAGCTGTTGGGGCATCAGTTTGCTATATTACCTTTAAGAGTTAAAATAGAATTAAACCGAAAAATAACAGAAATAAAGAAATTATTGGTGATCGAGATTTCTTATCCACCCCTGAACACGTGGAACCAACATACTAACACAGCTGTTGCATGTAACGTATTTAGTATGATGTATATATATGATATGTTTTCTAGCCACCGGTCTTTAGGCCGCCTAGTTTGTAATGAATAGAATGCAATTTGTGGCGTTTCCCGCGCATGTTACTGCAGCTGATTCATCTATGGAAAAAATTGGGAATAGCTTCGCGAACAGAATGAAAGATGAAAAGCAGAATGCGAGCTCCTTAAATCGAAACTTATTTCATTTCAACAGGCTGTGTGCAAATTTTGAGTAAATGTTATTCGCACCCATTTTGGTATTGCGAAGTTTCTTTTGTATGTCGAATTTTGTGTTTGTCTTAATTTCCAATTTTTTTTCATGTTGTGTACCCCTTAGTAAGTCTTTCCATACCTAAAGGGAAGTTTTTAATTTCTCCAAGGGTTAACGTTAACTACATCAAAAATTTAGCGGAAGAACTTTCGCTGGTAGCCTGGTTCCATCACTTCGTTTCACGTCCGAGAGGTAAATTATTTCACGAGGACAAAGCGTTCGCAGTACGTAACTCCACAAAATGTTTTCAACTTTTCAGCCAAGAGTACCACGATTTCGTGCAATAAAAGTGTGAGCTGTGTAACAGATAGATTTTTGTTTATCTATTGACTTCTTTTATTGCTAACAATTGCAAGCTTCGAAAAAACTTTCTCCTCACGATAATGAAGTCAATACATTTCTAAGGGTTTTTGTTTTCGTTAGTATTCACTGGATAGAATAAAATCACTCCACAAATTCCTATGGAAGCAAAGGAGTGCAAGAATTAATTAGAATGAAATAAATCAAACAGGAAGACGTTGGCTAAGGTGATAATACTCTTTTTGGAATCCGTGAGTGACAGCTGTGCAAATTTTGCGCGGAGACATTAATGCATGCCCTTGATTATTCCCTTAAAATTTGATAAAATATTCAAGTGCAATGTAATTTAATTTAAGACATTTGAAAACCATCAGATTCAATGACCACCTGCGCTTGAACTGGGGACCGAAAAGAAAGCTTCTTTACATTTGAGCATAAAAAAATATAAAGGGTTCTATTCATATTTTTTCCCTGCGAACCAAAGTTTAATTAAACCTAACAAATGTTGATGACACAGTGTTATTGAAAATTGAAATCACCATATTGATAGACCGGTTACCATGACGACATGTTGTGATACTTCTGAAAGATATAACTGGTATCTTCCGCACGCTCGTTGAATATATCATGTTTTGCACAGGACTAAGGTCTGGTATTTCATTAATATCTTTATAGAGATAATTATATCAATTTGTTCTCCGACTCTATGACTATTCTAAATTTTTATCAAATTATATCGATTCGTTGAAAACCGCAGTGTTGCGAACCCTAATTTAAAGAAATTAGATATTGGAACTTCGTTTGCCAAGAAGGAAAACCTTGAAAAACTGTCTAGAGAATCATGTAATGTTCGATTCTCTAGGTAAGATTTCGCTCAATACGCTTTCTACAAAATTGCATTTTTAATATCCCTTTTTGTTTTTGTTTTTATTTCCGACGATGAAAATAAGCAAACTGTCGCTAAACTAAGAATTTACATACAGTCATGACATTAGTGTTTCAGCTTGTAGATTTGTTGTTTGATCGGTGGTGTCTGGACCTATTATATTCTTTGGAGCCACTCATAATCCATTCCTGTATTGAATTAACATTAAAGAAAACCTCTTTTTCTCTTATGAAGAAAGTGTTAGACTTATTTTAGCTTCACCAGCGGTAAGATATACCAGGTTAGCTAAATAAAGCAAATAAACAAGAGAAAAGGGGAAAAAACAACACTCCATCTCTGAGAGGTTACGCTCGCGCAATCCAGTAAATTGTATACGTTTAAAATAGAAACTCATGAGGATAAGTGGTTGTTTGCTACCATCAAAATCTCATTTTCACTGATTACCAGATCTGTTGATAATTAGGTGCTAAAAGGCGGACCATCGAGCTGGCGCCAGTTCGCAATAACCTAAAGAGACGGAGAAGTGATAAGTCAACATGACCACAAATCGAGATTTATTCGTCAAGAATTGAGCGCAAAAGTAAATACACTGCCGAAAGAAACGTGTGTGATGTTAGTAAACAAAGTTGTAGCTACTTTTAATAACGTTAGAGCTATGTGAATCCCGCGCTTTGATATGTACGTGATCCGAATTGTGAAAGAGCGCCGCTTCGGCGCTTCTTTCAGATATTTCCAGAGGTTTATGTTCTCTCTGTGGCATAAGAAGCAATAAATCACTCTTTGACACGCTGTTTTCTGTCTCTCACTGGAGATGTTCAGAGTTGACACCAAACAGGTCTACAAATCTTGAATTACTTGAACATGATTTGTTTGTGTGTTCTAACAGACGAAGTCTTGAGAAGGTACTTGAACACAGACGATTCTTCAGGGCCTGTTTTCGTAAAATCACTTCGTAGATCTTTGAAAAACGATGACCTAACCTTAAAACAAATCTTCTACACATCAGTTTCCCTCAAAACCTCTAACTTTGGCCATTCGTTAGGATAGAAGCTCACGTGTGATTCACGAATTGCAGTACTTCGAAAAGTCCAATCTCGCATTCTTTGCTTTCCTCGGACAAACAAGCGTTTGAAACCACGACGAAATTCCCTACTTACGATAGAATAAATAATTGGATTGACAGCTGAATTCGCAGTCGTAAAAATAACCAGCACATTATACAAAACCCAAAAATATTCCAGGAAGAAAACGCGGGGCCAGTATAAAGCTACCAAGCGGAAGATGTTGATAGGAAGCATTGATACTGCAAACGTTACAACAAGCGGGGTTAGTATCCTCTTCGCTTTTGTGTTTTCTTTTAGTCGATGGTTTTCCTCCTTCTTACTCCGTTTGGCGCTTTTTCCGCGGCTAACAGTGCTACATTTTCGTTCAATGTCCTTGTGGAAGCCCGTACTTTGAGCTAGACGACTTCCGATTTGAACATACGTCCAAGAAATTATTCCAAAGGGAAACACGTACGTGAAGATTGTCAAAGTTATAGTATAAATTTGCTTCCAGAGAAGAAAACTCGGTTTTCTGAACCAGTTCACAAAGCAAGCCGATGTTTTTTCGTCAAATTCGATAACAAAGAAAAGAGGCAACGAAACAATTGCGAAGGAAACCACCCAAATTGCAACGATTGTTATCGAAGTGGTGGCCAGAGAACGACCGCGGTAGACCTCAATACGTTTCACAATATTGATATATCTTTCCACAGCGACGCATGTAACCAACCAAACGGAAGCCCCGTAAAATGTGTCAATAGTAGGGTATACATATAAACAAATTCCTTTCCCAAGAGGGAAATAAGTTTTAACTTGTTCCTGTAGTACAGCCATGGGAAACACGATTGTCAATACACCAATATCAGCGATTCCCAGATTGAATAAATAGCGATTTATGGCTGTTTTGGTTCGCAATCTAGAAATCACAACACAAACCAGGATATTGCCCAAAACTCCTAAAACAGACAAGGAGGCTTCAAAGACGAGGCGAGCTATTTCCAATGCAGGTGGTTCGGAGTAATATTGCATTGGAATAAGAGCCGACGATATTGGATTTATCGTCGGGTTGTTCGAGCAATTTTCCGAAGAAGCCATTCGAACCGCGAGATCTTCGATTCTATCTCTAATGTCGTGCAACTGACGTGAATAGGCCCTTGAAATGGGCTCCTACTGTTCAAGAATCTTGCATCACCGTCAATTTCGTAAAGTGACGTGTATTTATGATTTGAGATTCGTAACTCGCCGCCCGATATCTTATTGGATTTCTGCTTTCCAGATAATTGTGTTGATTGTTCTGGGGCGTCTAATAAATCATCTTAAGGACAGCTGGCAAACACACCATCGAGATCTCTTGAAGTTATAACACCTTGTTGCTTCATGGTCAATAGTTCCTGAAGAGCATTGTTCTTTAAATAACAA